TTTCCAGTCCCCATCCCGCCATTCCATCCTTTCCTCATCATCCTGTTACCCTAATCCCCATCCCATCCTACCCCAATCCTCCATTATCCCATCCCACCATCCCATTTCCATCATTCCCATCCCAGTATCCCATCCCTTTCCATCCTATCCCATTTCCCCAGTCCCGTTCTACCATCCCATCCTGATACCACTATCCCATCCCACTGTCCTGTCCTTATTCTCACTCCTGTCCCACCATCCCATCCCCATCAATCCATTCCAACCACTCCTGTTCCTGCCATCCCCTTTCCCATCCCGTCCCACCCATCACCCCATCCTGCCATCCCGTTCCATCTCCTGACCTTCATCCTATACCCCCATTCCCACCATCCCAATCCCACCTGTCCCATCTTTCCCCGCCATTCCCATCCTTGTGTCCATGATCCCAACCTCCCTTCCCACCCTGCAGCCGAGCTGTCGACACGGTTCTCCGCGGAGGTGCCGCTGGTGTCCATGGCGGTGCCGAGGGGGACCAACCTGCTCCTCTGGAGCCTGGGAATGGCACTGGTGGTGGGCACGGCCATGATCCGGCTGGTACCAGGGCTGGCGCTGCTGGCGCTGCTGGAGCTGCCCCTCGGGATCACCGCCCAGCGCATCCACAGTGCCCGGAGACGGGTCTGGAACGCGGGACGGGATGGGCGGGAAGGGGGTAACGGGGTGGGAATGGCAGGGTGGGGTGGAGAGCAGGGAATGGGATGGTGGGGATGGGAATGGGATGGTGGGGATGGGAATGGTGGGATGGGGTGAGATGGGATGGGATGAACGGGATGGTGGGGATGGGATGGGATGGGATGGGATGGGATGGGATGGAGAGCAGGGGAATGGGATGGTGGGGATGGAAACGGTGGGATGGGGTGAGGTGGGGTGGGATGGGATGGGATGGGATGGAGAGCAGGGGAATGGGATGGTGGGGATGGGAATGGTGGGATGGGGTGAGGTGGGGTGGGATGAATGGGATGGTGGGGATGGGAATGGTGGGATGGGGGGAGGTGGGATGGGATGGAGAGCAAGGGAACGGGATGGTAGGGATGGGAATTGTGGGATGGGATGAGATGGGATGGGATGAACGGGATGGTGGGGATGGGAACAGTGGGATGGGGTGAGGTGGGATGGGATGGAAATGGGGTGTATGGGATGGGGATGATGGGAATGCTGGGGACGGGATGGGATGGGATGGGATGGGATGGGATGGGATGGGATGGATGGGATGGGATGGGATGGGATGGGATGGGATGGGATGGGATGGGATGGGATGGGATGGGATGGGATGGGATGGGATGGGATGGGATGGGATGGGATGGGATGGGATGGGATGGGATGGGATGGGATGGGATGGCTGGATGGGGATCAGAGAGATGGGAGTGGGGAAGGTGACCAGAGGAATGGGATGTTGGGAATGTGAATGGTGGGGATGGGACAGTGGGAATGGGGACTGTGGGAGGGGGACTGGGAGATGGGATGGGATGGGATGGGATGGGATGTGGATGGTGGGCCAGGAGGGTAGTCTGGGAAAGCTGGGAATCCCTTCGTGGCTCCGTAGGCTCTGCAGCGCTCCATGCTGGAAGCATCCGCCCGGACGGCCTCGGGGGTGCAGGAATCTGTCACTGCCATGGAGACGATCCGGATCTTCTCGGCAGAGGAGGAGGAGGAGGAGCAGCACAGCCGGAACCTGGACGAGGAGCTGAGGCTGAAGGAGCGGATGGAGCTGGAGCTGGCAGGATTCACCCTCATCCAGAGGGTCAGGGGAAAACGGGAGTGGCAACACCGGGAATGGGGACATCGCTGGAATGGGGGCACTGGGAGCAGGGTGGGGACACTGGGATGGGGACATCGGGATCAGGGATGGGGACACCGGGAATGGGAATGAGAAGACCAGAACAGGTACACTGGGATCAAGGATGGGGATACCAGGAATGGGAGTGGGAAGATCAGAACAGGCACACTGGGATCAGGGATGGGGACACTGGGAATGGGAATGCCAACACCAGCAGCAGGATGGGGACTTTGGGACAAGGGATGGGAACACCAGAATCAGGAATAGGGACACCAGGAAAGGAAGTGGGGGGAGTGGGGACAGGGATTGGGATACTAAGAGCAGTTGCAGAGACAATAGGAATGGGGACACCAGGATCGGGCTGGGGACACTGGGACTGGGATGGGGACACCGGGACTGGGATGGGGACACCGGGACTGGGATGGGGACACCAGGAGCGGGAATGGGGACACCAGGAGTGGGAATAGGGACACTGGGATTTGGATGGGGACACCAGGAGCAGGAATGGGGACACCAGGAGCGGGAATGGGGACACCAGGAAAGGAAGTGGGGGGAGTGGGGACAGGGAGGGGGATACCAAGAGGAGTTATGGAGACAATGGGAATGGGGACACCAGGAGCGGGAATGGGGACACCGGGACTGGGCTGGGGACACTGGGACTGGGCTGGGGACACCAGGACTGGGATGGGAACACCAGTATCCATGTTCCCACCTGGAGATGCTCAAGCTGGCCATCCGGGTCCTGGTGCTCTTCCAGAGCCACCAGCAGCTCCGAGATGGATCCATCACTCCTGGTGTGCTCGTCACCTTCCTGCTGTACCGGGACACAGTCGGCGGCCACGTCAAGGTGATCCCGCAGGATCCATGTGTCTGTCCATCCATTCCCCATTCCCAATCCCTACCAGTGTCACCCCCTGCCCTCCCCTTCCCCCAGGTGCTGCTCTCTGGCTTCAACGAGTTCACCACCAACGTGGCTGCCGGGCAGAAAATCTGGGAATACCTGGATCGGAAACCCTCCAGGCACATCGGGGGGACACTGGAGCCCCCCCAGCTCCTGGGCCATGTCGCCTTCCAGAGGGTCTCCTTCGCCTATCCCGGAAATCCTGAGCACCCCGTGCTGAGGGTGGGTCTGGGGTGGGGAGGGTGGGGATTCCCAGGGGTGGGAATTGCGGTGTCAGCCATCTCCATCCCACAGGATGTGTCCTTGGAGGCGTATCCTGGGGAGGGTGGGGATTCCCAGGGGTGGGAATTGCGGTGTCAGCTGTCCCCTATCCTGCAGGATGTGTCCTTGGTGGCCTATCTTGGGGGGCAGTGGGCATTCCCAGGGGTGGGAATTGCAGTGTCAGCCATTCCTGATCCCACAGGACGTGTCCCTGGAGCTGCATCCCGGGGAGGTGACGGCACTGGCGGGGCCCAATGGGAGCGGGAAGAGCACAGCCGTGGCGCTGCTGGAGCGGCTGCGGGATCCCGGGAGCGGGGAGGTGCTGCTGGACGGGATCCCCTTGCGGGAATACGAGCACCAGTACCTGCACCGGCAGGTGGGGGCAGCAGGGATGGGATGGGAACGCAGGGAATAGGGTGGGATGGAATGGGATGGGGTGGAGATGGCGGGGATGGGCATGGGGGGTGAAGTGGAATTGGGAACTAGGAGACAGGGATGGGGGCACTGGGAAAAGGGATGGGGACACCAGGGACGGGGTGGGGACACTGAGGTGGCATGGGGACACTGAGGTGGGATAGGGACACTAAGGTGGGATAGGGGCCCTTGTGACACTGTGGAACCTCATGGAACCAAAGGAACCCTGGGAAACTGTGGAACCTCATGGGGTCATCAGGGCAACTGGGATGCTGTGGAACCTCATGGAATAAAAGGGTTTAATTGTGACACTGTGGGGACTCCTGGAACCAAAGGGACCCTGGACCTGTGACTGATGGACACTCGAGGACCATTATCCTGATGGAATCTGGACTCCAGTGGGCACACACACAGGATCAGTTCCCCATGAATATTTCCCACATTCTGAACTACTTTGTCATTGTATAAGTTTGTGATTTTAGCTTCTCTAATAACCTTGGATGTTCGAGTGTATCCTCAGCAAACAGAAAACCGGGTGTATGTCCAGATGTAAGCAGAAGTGGGAAGGACTTTTGTCTCCCAACATGGCTGTGGAAGCTCTGGGAGGAGACTCCCAAATTCCCTGTGTGGGAATAAAACAGCTCTGGACACAGAGGAACCGTCTTGGACAGTGCAGTGAACAATAAATCTGCTGCAGGTAAAGTTGAAACACAATAAGATTCTCTAAAGTGAAAATCATGAAATATTTTTTTATATTTATAGGACAATGTTTCTAGTATTGCAGCATGGTTATTTACTCCTGGATTAGCCAGTTGTCCTAACAGAGCCTTGCAACTAACAGTGATAAAAGAAAGCAAAGAGACCAAAGTCCCTTTTCCCAAGGGCCACTCCAATAGAACACACCCAGAGCAAACACCACGTGAGCCTTGGAAGAGAAGCTCACCCCGAAAGCCAACGCAGGCTGTGACACTGAGAACAAACAGCAGGAACTGCTGGATTTGTTCTCCGTTTCCCACTCATTCCAATGAAAGCATTCAAATGATGGGACTTCCAACAGCAAACATATTGTCCAGTGGTCTCCCTCCAGCTGGACTGATGCTCATTTTAGAAGGAAAAGAAGCTCAAACTCTCACACATCCACAAATGCTCTTCCTGGTAGCTCCCCTGGGGTTAAGTGAGAGATCTGCCTGCTGTCTCCTTTGGTGGTTTATATCAATCTCCTCTCAATGCTTGTTTCTTTGGCTGGTTTTGATAGAATTGCTGTCATAGAATTGCTTTGATACACTGCACTGTACTACTTTATGCTATATTATACCCTACTAGTAGGTTTTTAGCCTTTCCCCCCTGTAGTAAATCATTCTGATTAAGATTTTTCATCTGTTTTCACTTGTCGGTTCATTTGCCATAATAAATAATTCATTTTATATAAACAACTCTGATCTGCCATCATTAAAACCTGCAAGACAAAGTGATTTAATCACATCTCTGTAATTCCTTAAATTTACACCGTTGACACAGCCCGAGGCTAAGACTGGATCCAGCCACACTCAGGCTCCTCTCTGAGAAGGAATTTAGAAAGCCAGGGGATCCTTTCTGTACCTCGTGACCCAACAGCAGTTGAGCTTCTTTAAAGGCTTTGTCTTAAGCCTTCCACTCCCACCCAGGATACTCACACACTCACACACCCCCAGACCCTACAGTCCAGCCGCTCCAGTCGCTCAGTTGCCAGCACTGTTGACATGGGGGCTGTTTGATGCCCTGCTCCTCCTGCAGTTGCTGCACTCACACCCCCCCACTCACCAGCTCATCAGAGAGACATTGGCTCACACAGGAGTTAGAGATTAAGTTTAATGAGAAGACAGAACAGACTGCACTGGTTGGGGTCCTCCCCTCAACTTCCCTCAAGCCCTGTGCTATCCAAAACTGCTCTTCCCCTGCATCCCAGAATGTGTCCAACACTCCAAGGCAACAATCCCCCTAGTTCAAATGGTGATCTGCTCTCAGTGCCTTAGGGTTTTCAAACCTGGACAACAGGGCTGATGGCTCTGCCAGGGCAGCCCTGGAAGGAGCTGGGACATGGTGTCCCTTTCTCAGGAGCCCATAATTTGGGTTGTCCCTTGCCACTGTTCCTCTGTGCTCTCTCTGTTTGGAGATGGATTCCTGGTGAGCTGATGGCTCTGCAGTGATGGAACAGCCAGGGCAGAGCATGAACTGCCCTGTCACTCCTCCTACCACTGTTAGGGCCCCATCTGGGTGTGCAGATGAGCTTCTTATCACTTAACCTGACATGAGCTGACAAGAGCATAAATCTCCCGAGGCCTCCACATCTGGAGGTTACAAACATATGCCCTGGTATTGTTTAACATGTGAGAGCAGATCCTTGGAATTTATGTCCAGAAATGCATCATGATTAGGGGAAGAGCTTTGCTCTTGTCCTGGCAATGGATTTGTTCAGTGCCAGTATCACAACCTTATTTCTAAGGCTGTAGATGAATGGATTTAAGAATGGGTACAGCACTGTGTTCAGCAAAGCTACAATTCTGTTGGTCTTCAAGGAAGCATCTGTTGAAGGACACATGTAGAGAGCAATGCAGCTCCCATATGCAATGGATAAAGTGATGAGATGGGAAGAACAGGTAGTAAAAGCTTTTTTCTTCCTCCCAGAGGCTGCTGGAAGCTGCAGAATACAGAAAAGGATGCAGGTGTAAAATGCCAGATTTAAAGCTAAGGAGCCCAGCACGACACATGATATGAAAGCAGTGTCTATTTTCCAAAGCAGGCTGGTGTCAGAGCAGGACAGCTGGAATAAGGGGGAGTTGTCACAAAGAAAATGGGGGATCCTGTTGGAGCCACAGAAGGACAGCTGAGACAGGAAGAGCAGGCGGTAGCTCTGGAGGGTGAAGCCGATGACCCAGGCAGCAACAACCAGGCAGAGGCAGAGCTGAGGCTGCATGGTGGCAGCGTAGTGCAGGGGTTGGCAGATGGCAACGCAGTGGTCAAAGGACATGACAATGAGCGGGACACACTCTGTGCTGCCCAGGGCAAAATAGAAATAGGATTGGGCAAAGCAGCTGCTCAGGGAGATGGTTTTCTGATCAGAACTCAGGATGGCAAACAATTTGATGCTTGTGGAGGATGTAAAGCAGATTTCCAGGAAGGCCAGGTTGCTAATGAAAAAGAACATGGGGGTTTGCAGGTGGTGATCCACATGCACGAGGAAAATGATGGTTGCATTCCCTGTCACTGTTGTCAGGTACATGAACAGAAGGATCACAGAGAGAAACAGCTGCAGCCTTTGATCAAGCTCTGGAAACCCTCAAGGATGAACTCGGTTACTGCTGTTTCATTTGCTGGTCCCATGCTGAATTTCAGTTCCTCCTGCCGAGACAGGAACGTGGCAAAACCCAGGGTGATAATTTCACAGTCTGGACAAAATGTTCTATCCTTCCCTCTCTGCTCCTTTCTGTTCCTGCAGTCTTCCTGTCTAGCACAGAGATTGTCCTTCAAGCAATTCTCACCCCCTGATTTTTCTGTTTCACATTTCACTTGGAGTCCTCAGGGATTTTTTTGTCTTGTTTCTACTTTTCTTTCACCAGAGCAGAGGATTCTAAAGAGGTTGTTTGCCATTTCACCCCATTCCTTGGAAATTCCAAGCTCACTCACACCTATTGCAAACATCTGTCACACTTCTGTGCCAAAAACCTCTCTTCTACTGCACAAATGCTAACCCATGAAATCACATCCACTCTGTATGTTTAAAGCTCTTGTTTCTACTTTTCAGCGTTTGCCTTTTGCACTGGGAATCCCCGAGAATCTGTTGGTTTCAAAATAATCAATATCAAGTATTTTGCAATCCCCTGCTTTCTGCCACAACTTCTTGCTCTCTGCTTCTTCAGGAAAAAGGAGGGGAGGGCAGAATAGCGACCAAGTATAACTTGCCTTTTTAGTCCTCTAAACAATGAGCAGCATTTGTTATGGATCCACACAGTGTGTCACAGAGTCCCATCTCACACCCGTCTGCACAAAAAGGCACTTGTTTCCATACAGTTGCTCGTTTCTCTTGCTGTCAAAGGTTCCAACCAAAAGGCAGAGCAAGAGAACAGTGCCAGGAAGAGATTTGTAAGCTTTCTTTTGCCTGCCAATTTTAGACTGGGAGAATCCAGCCTGCAGAGCCTTCTCTTGTCTCCACTGACTATAGAGGGAGCCTGGAGAAAACAAGTTCCCAGGAGTGTCTGCAGGGGAGCAGATGAAACTCACTGTTCAAGTCTCAAATCTCTGATTAAATAAAAGCTGTTATGCTTTTAAATCAAAATTCACAGTTCACAGAAAGAAGCAGGAGAAAAAAATGTGCAATAAAGACAGGCCTTTTTCCTTTCATCTTTTGATTTTGCTTTTAGGCAGAGAGGAGCAGAGCCCATGACTCCAAAAATAGGGTGATTGGAAATGCCGTGGGGAGAAGAGGTTCTGAGATCAACTGGCATCCAGCCTTCCACCCATCCCCAGCACGTCAAGCAGACCACGGCACAAAGTACCATGTCCAGTCTTTCCTTAAACACCTCCAGGGACGGTGACTCCACCGCCTCCCTGGGCAGCCCATGTCAATACCTAATCCCTGTTTCTGCCCAAAAATTCCTGCTCCTGTCCCTGACAAACATCCCCTGACAGGCAGGTCCTCGTGTCCTCTTGTCCTATCGCCTGTTGCCTCACAGAAGAGGCTGAACCCACCTGGCTCCACCCTCCTGTCAGGAAGTTGTGGACAGATGAGAAGGTCAACCCTAAGCCTCCTCTTCTCCAGGTTGAAGAACCGCAGCTCCCTGAGCTGCTCCTCATAGGACATGCACTTGCCCTGCTCCACTGCCCTGCTCTCGACCCACTCCAGCCTCTCAATGTTCTTCCTGAATTGAGGGGCCCAGAACTGGACACAGCACTCCAGGTGTGGCCTCACCAGTGCCCAGTCCAGCAGAAGAATCCCTGCCCTGCTCCTGCTGGCCCCACTATTTC